AAAGTCAAACGGATTGTTCTGTGCGCAGCGTGCCGAATCGTGAATGACGCGCTAGAAGACCATCGCGCGATGCGCCAGACTTCATGCGCCTCGCTAAGTCTAAGTCTAAACTTGAAGACTAAAGAGGCGTCAATCTGAGCCGATGCTGCTATTCAAATTGATGATGTTTGGTGTGCTGCTGGTCATGCTGTCTTTGAACGGCTCACAATTACGTGAGTGTGGTGGGGCCGTGTCCTCTCCAAAAGTTGTGCGCTTACATATGATGATGGTGGTGCGTGGATGATTCGTGTGGCTTGCAGGCCAACGTACGTGCCTAGCTAGAGAGTATATAGCTGCAACCTCTGAGAGGTAGGTAGGATGTACGGTCAACGCCGCAATTTCCGCGCAGCACACGCAGATCCACACTCACAGCCAGGCGTCTAGGGTGCGCGGTGAGGTGAGCGATCGGCTCTTCGAGCACTAATCCCTCATCAACCTGGCGAGCACCTCACGGACCTAGGAAATCTCAGTGGTTTCCAGCAATCTCAGGCTACATGTGTCCCTAAAAGAGCTTTCTACAGAAAAAGGTACTTGGGTGAGTGGTTGCAGGCATAGCATGCATAAAAGTGAAGGGATTGCTGGCGCGACCTGCGTTCAAAGCTTGAGCAATCCTTTTTGTGTGCAATTTTGCAGCTAGTACTGGTAGGACACTGCTGCAGTGCCCCCTTTTTTGCGCTGGCAGTGCAGTGCTGCTCGGTCAGCTCCCTGACTGATCACCTGATCGAGTCCTCCTAGCTGAGGTGCTCGCCAGGTTGCTGAGGGATCAGTGCTCGAACCTCACCGCGCACCCTAGACGCCTGGCTGTGACTGTGACTCATGAGGAAGTGCACCATCACCAGCAGGCCCTATCGCGGTGCATTCACTGATTCACGCTTCGTGACATGTGCGGCACGGCAGCGTCAATCGGCAGCCAAGGGAAGCGAGCTTGAGCCGATCAAGTGCTTCTTCGCCTTCGCTCAGGACGCCCGGCGCGCCTTCGCAATCACGAATGGATCCCATCCAGCTTGCGCTTTCGTGACTCTTTTTTTCGGGAGTCCACGCTTCATGGCCCGCGTCGTCCCACCAAATCACGAATTTTGAGTGTGAGTGACGGCTTGCGGTGAAGCCAAACATGTTCGTGATCTCGCATTGCGCAGCGGGCAGATAAGAAGCTGCTATCCCAAGAAGATCAATGGGATGTTCGATCTCTGTTCATGTCACCTCGTCACAAGGGATTTGCACCTCCAAAGGTATATCGTACGAGGCGAAAGCAAGCAGACCATGGAGACTCCTCGCGTTCCCCACGCCGGTTCGACCACAAAATCTCCAAGCGCAGCCAGCGCTGCTCCGCAAAAGTTGAGATGGACTTCAT